TAATGTTTTGCGCTAGTATTATAGGTAGTAAAATTATAGACCCCTTCTAATGATGGTATCAAGATGAATGCAGGAAATTATTCTGGACAAGACTGGTATATAATTGGAGAAAAAGAAATCTAGTATCTGTAATTAATTTTCTTTGTAGGTTATTGTATTTGCAAGATTTTAACTTGTCTATTATTCCACACAAAAATAGTATACATAAAAGATGTGGTTTGTTATTAAGTGATATCTATGAGAATGGAAGACTGATGAATCAGAGGAAATTTCTTGGAATTAATAAAATAAATGCTGCAAATAATGCTAAAATCAAAAAAGTAGAGAGGTTAAGAAAATCAATGATTGAAATATTGGTGAGAGTTATAGATGGTCAAGAAACCTATATAAACATGTGAAACAACGAAATAAAAAATTATATTGCATTTTGTTTGCATAATAGTACCAGACACTCACCAAAAAAGTTATCAATATTTTTTGTAAGGAGAGATATAACCTGAAACTCATTTGATATCTTGCTCATACAAAGATCCTGAAAATTTTTTACCAACATTGATTGGTTAATACAGTTTTTATGAAAACATTAACTTAATTAATAAAATCTGATATAGTGATGTTTATGAGATTGATGATTATTAGGTGCTCAACTTCTGTATGAGTGTACCAAACTAAACATGGTAAATAACTATTAATTGAATTTTACATGTACTTACTTTGAATAGTTTTAGGTTTTCATAAAAGATAATTTTTTTATTTACACTTGCACTATTGTCCTCTTCTTTGTTGTTGTTATTATCTCAATGTTTTAGCTGTTGTGCCCTCTGATGCTTGTCAGTCCAGATAACCTTCATGAAATTTTAAAGTGAACCCTTTATTTAATTTATGGTAGTAGATTTTTCTCAACCTGCTGACCATATCCAAGAATATCTTGTCTAGTTCTTATTGAGTAATGCTCAATTTTTGCTTGCTGTTTCAACTGAATCCAAGTTTGTACTCCCAGTGAAAACAGGGCAAGCAATTTTATAGATGTGGAACTTGTAAAGAGCTTATTCAATTATTAAATTGAGAATTATGATTCATCTGAAAATTCAAACAGTAAAACCATGCAATTTTCACAGGTACTTCTAGTAAGGATAATTCTTCATCTCAAATATTTTAACAACATTAAATATTTCTTGTATAAAATAAATGCTCTTTTTTTTCCTTTTAATCTGGCTATGGATGATTGGATGATGTACCTATATATATATTTATAGTATATATAACTATGGAATGAACATGTGAGCAATGAAGAAGTTTTAGAGAAAATGGAAACAAAAAGGACAATTATATATAGCATCAGAAAAAGTTTAAATTTTTATGGTGCATGATGAGGAAAGAGGGCTTCAGAATGTTGACACTCACAGGACAAATTGAAGACAAGAGAGACAGGAAAACCACAAAACCTACTTAACTTTAAATGGTTGGAAGAACAGAGATTAGGAGATATAGTAAAAATATAAACTTTACTAAGTGTTACAAAGGACAGGAAGTTGTGGAGTGCCATGATCGCCCATGTTTTGAAGGGGTACAACATATAGAAGTATAATATAACTTTTTAAATTGAATGTATGACTCTTAAAATATTCCTTAATTATCTTCTCTTGTTGCCACTTGGCAAAAACATAGTCTGATCAATAATGTAAAATTTACAAAGCAATATCCTCCTAAGAACTCTTTTTAAATAATAAAAGATATACTTTTTCCCTTTTGTCATCTGATATTTTCTGAAACACAATACTGAAACACAAGTTTCAATTACATCTCTCATAGCTTTAAAATGAAATCATTTGTATAAACTTGCTCCTTGCAGCCTTAAAAAAAAAATAAATTTTGGTTATAATACACAGCTGGTTTTTTTTTTTTTTGTTTAGACAACTATCTTTGTATTTATTCAATATAAATCAAAACTTGTCCACACCTTTATAAACAGTCTGTATGAGTTGGGAATGATGGATGCTGAGATGTTCTCAGTACAGCCTAGTTCTGATATCTGACTAAATGAATGAACCTCAAAATAATTTAAAAAATTTTTTGAATTCCTTCTGAGTTATGTGGAGAAATTTTCAGCACTTATAAATTCCTTTCATGAAATTAAAATAAGGACTTGGTTTTTATGTGTTTGTTGATTCAGAACATAAGAGTTAAAATTCTTCAATTCTGTTAAAAGTAATGATAAAATTATTTGTTTCTTTTCAGGTTTGTATTTGTATATTTTCAAGACAGGATTAAGCTAGTGTAGAGTCTGTAGCATATGAAATAAAGGGGCCCTAATTTAAAAAATATGCATGAATACTAAATCATTATTTACTAGCATAGTGATAGAGCTTATAACATAGGTAAATATTTAACTTGAATCAGCATAATAAATAAATTTGAGTAAATTTAACAGCCTTGATATATATAATGTTACCTGAAATTGTTAAAAATGCAGCTCCCTTAACATGTAAACATTATGATCACCAGATCATAAAATGCCAATTTCACAGGACAGCTTAAAATTATTTAAATGTGAGGCTTTTGAAAATGTGTGGCCCATAGTATTTGCTACTGTTTATTATATATTTTTTAAAATTAATAACAGCTAGTTGGATTTTTTGAAACTTCAATGTTTGTTGACAATTAAGATTATCAATTACCTTATGCCTCCGTTCTTCTTTCACTCTTAGTCTGTATCTTCTCATTCTCTCCCTTATCCCGCCAAATCTTGAGGAGTGCGTATATATTTTCTATTACATCTTTTATCTTTTTTTTAATGTCTTCTATTAAAAAAAATTAGTGCACTGTAATTTTTATGTCTTTCCTTTTTTAATTGCTTTTTAAATCTTTCAGCCTGTTTTTTTGTCTCCATCACTTCCTTTTTTATTTCTTGTATATCTCAGTTGCAATGATTAATCAACTAATAATTGGTAATTAACCATAGCATTTGTTGATTAATCAGTCATTAGCTTTTCTCTCTGATTAATTGGTTTTCATACTTGGTTACATCAGAGAAATTTCATTCCTTGCTTTTATATATATATATATATATATATATATATATATATATATATATAGCAACAATAAAATAATGCTCTAAACAAAAAGGCATCATCCTGTGTATTCTGGTTGAATTCGTACATATATTTTGATAAAGTACAAGGAGTACCTAATCCTGCAGGATAGTGAATAAAAAATAAATGCAAATTTTAAATTTGCTTACAGATGTTTAATAAGAACTAAATATGAATTATCACAGCAACTTAATAAGTAAATAATAAAGGGTCTTCAATCTTGTCTAAATAATTTAATCACTAAGTTTTACTGTCTAAAATAAATTTCTCAAAACTAAAAAATTTAATAATTTCTAAAAAGGATAAGAAGTTTCTTTTTTTTTTTTTTTTTTTTTTTTTTTTTTTTTTTTAACAAAAATGAGTAAAAGTACAATAACACAGTAAAAATATATCCATTTGATTTAAAAAACAAAAAAAACTTGATCATTTATAATACTTTCATCTCTGGTTATGAGGAAGAATTATAAATGAGAGAAAAACGTTCAAAATATTTTAAATGTCATAATAATTTAACACAGTTCCATTATGCCAATGAAAAATATTAATAAAATAAAATTAAATCCAATTTTTGATGGAAATTAAATTTTTTTTTAAGTAAATAAAGATGAAAATCAGTTTTGAAAGCTATAAAATTTTAAAAAATACATGAATTTTGTAGAAACAAATTTAAGTTTATTAAAAAAGAATGTTTTACTTTTTAATTCTCAATTATTGAAAAGATTTAATATTTTTTAGGTAGAATTTAACATAATCAAAAATAAATCTTTTCAATAACCGAGACTAAAGATGATTTTATGGATTAAAACTATTATAAAAACAAATTGTTGTAATTTAACTTCCTTACCATGAGGACAATTTAGGGCACAAGGTCAATTTTTATGTGAAGAAATCAAATGTGACATTGGCGGGAATTTCATTTTTTAACTGTTTCTTTTTTTATAAAATAAAGAAGAATAATAAAAATTGTCTTTAAAAGAAAGCCCGGCAGAACAACAATGTGAATTCATTTTGTGTTTATATTACATAATTATAATTATTAAATTAATAATTTATAATATTAAGTGGGTGATTTAACAATGTTTAAAAAGAAATTAAAATAAGTTTTATTTTGAACTAAAAGACTTTAAACTAGCAAACTTTAGGGAAAGTTTGAGAACTAAGTAGAAATTTACTTTTTTTTTTTTTTTTTTTTTTTTTTTTTAAACTTAAGTAAAATAAATTTACATCATACTTAACTTAGGTGTTAATGATTACGATCTATAGATTTTAGTTTTAATGATAGTTTAAAGTTAATACATATTTATATATTTTTATCATTCATACCAGGAATGGAAAATTAAGTTTTAAACCAAAAAAAAAAAACAAAAAAAAAAACAGTATTGTTTTTGGAATTGGAAATTAGGTTAAAAATTCTCCAATTCCAATACCCTAAAAAGTTATAATTCATCCACACACACACACGTTTTTTTTTCTTCCTCTTTTGCACCTCTTGTTTCTTTTTTCAGCTGCTTTGCCTGTTTCTTGATTTCAGTTCAAGGGCAGACAGATACTACGCACTAGTTTAGGTAAAAATTGTAATGTACAAGCAAACCTAGTAATCATATAGATTTTTTTTAATGTTATCATAAAATAAAATTGATTAGTCTGTCAGGATCTTAAATTTTGCACTTTAAATTTTTTTTTTTTTAACATTCATTTACATATGATAAAAAAAGAAAAAAAAACTTTCTATATATGACATTTTGAAGCTCTGTTGCAACCATTAATTCAAAATTATTTTCAAAGCATCCAATAACGAAATTGGTCAACAAAAAAAAATAGCCCTGAATTATTGACTATAATGCAATATCTTTTTTTTTTTTTTGTTTACACTATACTGAAATCAGTTTTCAATTTTTCTTTTGTCAGTGGCTACATTCTGACATTTCCATGGATGTTGACCTCTGGGGCCACTCACCAGTTTTGCATGGTATTCCATAATACCACTTCAGATATTGAGGTCAAATTGAACTTCAGGTTTTCATCAGAACAGAAAGATATAACAACCAAACTTTTTAAACATGGTAAGTAACTACTGAATTTTTTTCTTGCAAGTGAATTTATAAAAATTATAAAAACAATTGTAATTTTCTGCTGTTTGAAAGCATTCCTGTCTGATGAGATTTATTTACCTACTCTCAGTTGCTGTACTATATTGGGAGTTTGGTTTCATCATTTCACTGTTGAAATTGCTGGATGTAACCATAGCTTTTCTAATAGGTCTTTTCCTTCTTTCCACGCAATTTAAATGTATTCCAATATTTATGTGGTTTTGGCAGGGCGCAATGGTTGCGCTAAGTAGCTAAGGGAGCAACAAGTACAATTATAATATGATCCTCAAGTTCAGTGGTATATGAGCCAAAGAAAACATTAGTTTTCTAAATAAATGAATTTTATTTTGATATTTTTATAAGCTTCAACATGATTGGTTAGGGATTGCTGTTGTAGTTTTCATAGCAAGTGTAGATGTAATGGATAGCAGGTTGAAATGAGAAATTGGAGAGCCAAGTTCATGTGTCAGTTACATTCACTTACATGTAAATACCCTTGTAAAAGGTTTGAATTCACCTCTTCCCAGCTATGGGTTAAATAGGACTTGTATCTGTAAAAAAAAATCATTATTCTCAAAAAATTGTTAATGCAGTATTCACTTGCAAAAAAAATGTTTATTCTTACAATCCAAAATATATTTTGACTTTAAATAACCCACAAAGGGTTGATAAGCCATAAAAACAAATCAATCAATTCTGTAGCAAGTAGGTTTTTCACAGGATGACATTGCTAGCCCCTCACATAACCAGTTTTGAATTTAGAGTTGTCATTTTCCTAGATTAGTTGCTAACTAAGGCTGAAGAGCCCAGTCTACCCTACTATTTAACCTATAGAAGGAAGAGATAGTTCATATTTTGTCCACGGATATTTGCATGAAAGTGAATGCAATAAACTTGACTGAAATTCAAACATGGCTCACCAATTTCTTGTTTGAAGATACTAATCTATTGTTCTAGCTTATAGTTTATATAATATAATGGACCATATACAGTATGTCTACACAGTAATGCCTTGCGATACAAGTTTAATTCGTTCCAAGACCAAGTTTGTAACTCAAAAGACTCGTATCTCAAATCAGTTTTTCCATTGAAATTAATGGGAATATTTCCGATCCATTCCAGTCTCCTAAAAAATCATTCTTATTTTCCTAAAACTCACCCCTATTTTTGTATTTTTGAGTTTCTTACAAGCAAAAATGTGCGCATAAGCAAATGTAGTTTACAGACAATAAGATAAAAAAAAATTGTAAAGAAATAAACTATACCAAACCATGAAGTTACGAGCCATAGACCAAGTAGCAGAAAAGAAAGAGAGACAACAACAGCTAGCCTAGCAATGGCTAGCTTAGTCTATGATACCAAAGATTAACTTAATTTAAAAAATTTTTTAAAACATTTGCATTTTATCCATTATTGTAACTAATTTTTTTTTTAAATTATATTATTTTTTTTTTTATTTATCATCGATGTAGAATGGTTATACTGTCTGGCCAAATCCATTACTTATATGTCTTCCTCATGTTTTTTATAATTTCTAGCTTTACCTCAAGTGAAATCATATGTTTTAGCTTTTCAGTACTGCTCTTTACACTTACTTTCTTCACACCCATGGTCTCACTAAAAGAATTTTGCAAAATAATGGCAAAAAAGACAGCACAAAAGAGATCCTTCCAGAGGGAGGTGAACATGTGTACTGTGAGTGGAATTACTCTCAAAGATTGGCATTCACTGTGCCAAATAGCAGATACTTAACAGAAATTTACTTATATCTCAAGGCAAAAAATCAGCCAAACTGTGGCTCATATCTCAAAAAACTCATATGTCGGTTCACTTGTATCTTAAAGCATTACTGTATTTGCTAAGCTTAACTTGGTACACTATCAAATATATTAATAATGATCTGTGTTAGGCAAAATTGCTAATTATTATACCACTGCAACTGACTTTCCACTTAGAACTAAGTCTCTATTGAATCATATGCATATAACTCTAGTCATGGTTTTTTGCTATCATTTCTAAATTGGACTCCCTTAAAGCATGTGGACTTGATGATATTCCTGCAATAGTCCTTAAGAAATGTGCTCCTGAACTGGTTCCTGTTCTCTCTAACCTCTATAATAAATGCCTTGTTGCTTCTTGCTTGTTGGAAATCGTCTTCTGTAGTTCCAGTCTTTAAGAACTCAGGTGAACTGTTTACTCCTTCTATCAGCCTATTAGCATTCTACCACTTTTTGCCAAAGTACTAGAGGCTCTAATCAACTTTGAATTGGTTAAGCAGCTTACCTCAAAGGGTCTTCTTTCAGATAAGCAATATGGGTTTTACTTCTCTAAGTCAACTGCTGATGTAATAATGATTATTACTGAAAGAGTTTATCAAGTTTTAGACAAGAATGGTGAAGCTCAGGCTGTTGCTTTGGATATCTCAGTCATTTGGCAGGGTTTGGCATACTGGTCTTGTTGAAAGGTCATGGTATTTCTTGACACATTTTTGAACTGATCCAATCTTATCAAATCATGAAAGGAAAGTTGTCTTGAACAGTCACTCTTTTAAATCCTCCAGAGCTCAATCCTTGGACCTACATTGTTTCTAATTTTCATTGACCTTCCTGATAGCATCAGTTCTCAACTCAGTATCTCTGATGATGACACAACTATTTATTTCCATCTTAATAGTAAATTTGATTGGTTTGATAAGGTCAAATTGGCAGCTGATCTAAAATATAACCTACATTCTGTTAACTAGACAAGGAATGGCTTGTTAATTTTAATGCTTCAAAACACAGCTGCCCCCTATTGTATGAGAGAACCCCTTCTGCTTTCCATTAACATGGCTGATGCTAACCTCCGGGAGAGTGACTAATTGCACCTTCTTGGGCTAATGCAGTGTCTTTATTGCCTTGCTTTGGATGAAATGATACTGATATAAAGTGGAAAGATTATATTGAATCAATTGCTAGGTCTGCTGCAAGGAAAGTTGGTTCACTGTATAATGAGAGATAATTTTTCTTGCTTGAATCTATCTTATATATTTATAAGCCTGCCATTCATCCATCCATGCTTTGAATATTGCTGCCACATATGGTCTGGTACTCCTGCTATATATTTAGAGATCTTTGATAAAATCCAAAGAATCTGCAATGTCATTGGTCATGACCTGGCATCTCAGCTTCAGTCACTTTCCCACAGTTGTAATGTACTTTCCCTGTGCCTTTTCTATAAATACTTTTATAGTTATTCTGATGAAATTTTCGCTATGATACCTAGACTTTATGAATTTAAGCACAGTAATAGATTGGCAAAAAGGTCTCATACAGTTGAAATTACTAGATGTAAATGTAAGTTCTATGCTAATAGTTTCTTCTTTTTTGCACTTCTTCCTTGTAAAACTCTCTTCTGGCTTTTTGCTTTCCAGTCAACTTTGATCTTCAAAAATTTAAATGCAATGTCAATTGTTATTTTCTTTCTTTCTTAATTTCTGTTTTTTTTAGTAACCCCCTGCAGTGTCTTTATTGTCTTGCTTGGGGTGAAATGATTAAAGAAAAAGAATCTGCAGACCTTGTCTATTTCAAAATCTCATACTGCTGTATGGTAATGATAATAGTAAAATTAGTTATTTCCATATAAGAAATATTTGACATTGATTAATTAAACAGTGTTAATTTCAGTTGAAATTTATAAAATCTTTTTATTAAAACAATTTTTCAGAAAATTAAAATTCTCAAGTTATCTCTTTCTAATTTTAATGGTAGTTTACTTTCAAACTTTTTGTTTTTAGTAGTGTGGAAATTCAATAACTTGATTGCTATTATTTTCTCTTTTAGTTTCATGTTACCTATTTTGTTGTGGCTGTTGTTGAAAGTGTTTTTTGTTATTTGGTAAAATGTGTTTTAAAAGTTCACAACAAATGGCATAACCTGGTTTTAATTTTGACTAAAACTAGATGTTCTAGAGCTGGTGATCCTAGAGTTTAGACAGTTTCCATTCTTTGTGTATATGTGACTCTTGTTAGATAAAAGTATTTAATGGCTATTGTTGTTACTAGATAAAGAGGAATGGCTTCAAGTCATGACTTGATTCTTTCTTAGAATGTGAATGTTGACATTGTTTTCCCTATTGGCTCAAACACTGTATATGTATGGGCTGCATTTTAACGACTTTCTCACTGGTATTTTCTGAGTTTGTTATTTTTCAGATAATATACAAGTTGCTATTTATTCCAAAAGCAGAGGTTTTGCTGGGTCAATGTCTGATGTCTTACATTATCAGGTTATTGATTATTGTCCAGTTCCTCAATAAACTGAAAGATTATGTCATCTTCAGAAGGATGTGCTTGGTCTGATAACAAACAAGCAGTATTTTTATTAGTTCCTCTCTCTCTATTTTGTCCTCTCCTGATCCGATCTTGACTTTTGTTTTTCATTGGAATTCTAGTACTGTACACTACCTAACTTTATATTCTATTTAATACCATCTCTGAAAACTGTAACTTGTATGAGGTCTGTCAGGAAATTATCCGACCATTTAATATTAACAAAAAAAGTAGCCTACTTAAGGCAATGATATCAAAGTATTCTCTTTGAGGCCTCATACACTAATCCCAACATCCTTTCCGCTTTTTTTTTTGAAAAAGTGTTCTCTCAAGATTGCTGACAGTTGCTTTGTTGCTTTCTTAATTTCATCTACATCTCAATGACAATTTTTAACTGTGGAAAAAACCAGGAGTTGCAAAGAGCTAAATCTGGACTGTAGGGTGGAGCACAGACAGACTTTGGTGAAGCAATAAAAAAACCTGTGCAAAACATAAAGAATTCACTCACTGTTATTGTGAATGCAGATGTCATAGTACACAAGCTCAATAAATGGTTGAATGACCCCCAAGGAAGAGTACCTGTTTACACACATACAGTAAGGTCCCTGAAGATTTATTGCTATGTTGTTTCAAAGCTGCATAAATAGGTTGAGATATTCAAGAT